AGTAGTAGTAGTAGTAGGAGTAGCAGTATCAGTAGCGGTAGCAGTAGCAGTAGCAGTAGCAGTAGTGGTGGTAGTAATAGTAGTAGTAGTAGTAGTAGAAGAATTGGAAGTAAAGTAGGAGGAGTAGTAGGTTGAAGAACTGTAGTACTGTAGCTGGTAGTAGTAGCAGCAGCAGCCGGAGTCGGAGCAGCAGTAGTCAGGTTTGTCGCGGTGTGTCCTATGTGGCCTTGCACCCGCAGTGGGGGTATCTAAAGCTTGAATGCTGGTGGAAGTGGGTGCCGCCCCTCTCACCAAGTCTAAGGTACGGCAGCGATGTCACTTGGCCCGTTCAAAACTTCGGAAGGGAGGCTGGCGAAACCAACCCAAAGCAGCTGGGCCTGAAGAAAGATGAGATTTGGGTCTGTGTATTTGTTTGGGTCACTTTCAGGGGGTCGAACTGGGAGGTCTCCCTAATACACACCCATTATGATTGGAAGAGATGAACACCACCAGGTTCAAAGGTACTGTATAGGATTTCAATGGATTTCACGTGATCAAGGAGTCCTGGTCCGTCAGTAGGGGGTTCATAGCCAGGATCTTCCGTGGTGCGGGACCCGATGAAGCGAGGCCATGCCGGGCTTGGTGCCACGTGCAGCGGAGGAGAGTTCCCTGGAGTTGTGCGGGTGGCATGCCAGCCGAGTTTCCTCGTTCAGAGTCGAGTTTCCATGAGTTTCCCACGTGTTCTATCGTTTTCTCATGTTTTTCATGTATTTTCATGTGATTGTCTCTATCGTTTTCGGCACTGTTTGAGGACTCTTTCAAGCCCAGGGTCCAGTGTCGAAGTGATCTCAAATCACTCGAGTGCACGTAGGGCTACCAGGAATGTGATAGTTTTCTTCCTGTGTTTCAGAGAAGCAAAGCATCCAAATTCTTTGATGTTCGGACGAACGAACGAACCGGTGGTGTGACGATCAAGTTTGGCAAGGTTTCTGGATGTGGTTTTGGGAGACTTGCTGCAGGTAAGAGATAGGACCTTGGTTGCTTGGTAGTGAATCGCCTGAGAGGAATCCAATCCTGTGCAATCACCCATCTTTGGCAGTGAGCTTCATTGACCTTGCGCCACCTGGTTCGCTCCACATATCCGCAGGAGTTGTTCCATGTGCTCAGCCTGCGACTCAGCGTCGGTGTTTTTTTTCAGCATCATGTTCATTCATGTTCGATGGTATCCAACTAATACACAACGAACCTGCTCACGGAGCCGCTTTACATCAGTTTATGTTCGATAAACGTCCTGGATACTCGCAGAGCAGAGAGAATGCGCAACCCGTTTTTTTGCGCTTTGACACTGGCACAGCCGGAGAACTTCAGCGCATCAACAAAAAAGGTAACCCTGACCCTCGATCAAGTCAGCCGAAGATGCCGCTGCTCGCCGCTCGAAAAGCTCCGCTCGCCGCTCAAAGGACGCTATGCCCACGAGTGTGAGGCTCGTGTGGTTTGCTCGATGTTTGAGTCTGAAGCTGAGAGTTTGAGTCGGACTCTTTATACCGGGCGTGAACACTTCCGCGGGTGAGCTCGCGTCAGCATGGCAACCTGGGCGGTTTTGCTTTTGGAGGGACATCAAGCTTCTAGCAGCGGTTTGGGATGCTGGCTCATTTTGCGGAGGGTCCCAAAAGACCTTTAAACGTTAAACATACTTTAACATCTTTAACGTCCTGTAGTGACGAGTGCATGAGTGAAATGAACTCCATTGCTTAGTGTGTCCCTTTCATGCTCTTTGCCCCCTCAGGCTATATCGAGACGACCTTGTGGATTTACTCTTCACCAAAGCCAAAGCCTGGAACTCTGGAGTTATAGAGTTTCTAGTGTGAAGACTGTGGTGGGCTGCTAGCACGGCCATTGCTTGGTGATGGGTTTGCTAATCGTTCTTGGAAACACCTACTTTGTAACTGGGGCATTCCGACTACTCGGCTTGGAGGGTTACGGCTTAGGTAACTTAGGAGAGAGTTTCTCAGTTGCCGTGTGAAACACTTCCACACCAGCTGGACAAGCGCATTGGCAGTGGACATGACAAGATCCCAATGCTAAACTGAGCATGTCAGGCATTCACCCGGATTCCAGCGACATTGAGTTGTTTCAGCTAAGCCCATGGAAGCGCCGGTGCAACATCAAATTCTCTAGGAGTGAACGAACCGTTTCCGCAAGCATCTAGTTGTGACCTTTGACTTCCACACGTTGAAACCTCATGAAACCTCCATGTTTGGAAGTCAACATGCAGACCACAGAGAACCGCAGATCTTGTTATCCTGTTCGCTTGAACATCCGCGGTTTCTTGAAAAACCTGTGACACCCACCGGGCAGCTCGGCCAACTCCCAGGGGAAGGTTCCACCTACCTTGGACATCAAGAAAGATCCTCGGGGTACTGTGAAGGCCACAAACTGTCGGGCTGGGCTGCGGTTGTTCCGTGACGGGCGGGTGTTCCTGGGGGTTGGCCGGACAGTCGTGGCATGATGAGGGGCATGAGAAGGGGGTGTCGTAGCTGATTTCTCCTCGGTGTTTTCCGTTTTTTCCTCTTGTTTTGTCTTGCTTGTGTGTGTGTGTATTTGTTTGTCCTGTTGTGCCTTTATCCTTCTAAGGAGATTGAGATTGAGCCCATATTATGCGGGAGGTGCCCTCTATTCTATGCTTTGCAGATAGCAAAATTCATAGCATTTCATTTTGTGTGATCATTTTGGATATTGTCTTGCTGTACTCTGCATGGCCAAAGATCAACGTAGCTAATAGGAAGGTCTCGATATTGTTCGCAAGCATCAGCGGCAAAAACTAGGAGCAACTTGACTAAGATTCATAATACTTGATAGATCTTCAGAGACTAAACAGATCATGTGATCAACATGGCAAACACACCACCAACCCGAATCAGTTCAAAAACAGGTGGACAATGCCGTTGAGATCGAGGCTGGCGAAGAGATTTACCCTACGGTCCCCCACTGGTTGGAAGACTGCTTTCCTCTGCAAATAGATCTTGGGGTCCATGTTTGAAAGAAATTCAGACCGTGTCCGAATCAGTTTCTGTCTCCGTGTGGTCTTCAGTGTTCCAGATACATCGAGCGGGCCACGATGATTTGCGGAGTAAACGCAACCAAAACGGTGGATCCAAAGCAGCGTCACTTGTTTGTTTCGGTGCCCGGAACACAAATGCCCATCGATTCTTCATGTTCATGCTTGCTGGTCAATAAGAGTGGTCCGTTGTTTCACAGTCCGCGCCTTATCACTATGGAATTAAGTTGCAGGGTGTTATAAAATGGTTTGTCATGTTCAAGAATGTCCTTGTTGGACAAAAACAGATGTCCTGACGCGTCTGACGCGTCTGCTTGGGATCTGTTTGTCTTCTTCGACTGTCCCGTGCCGACCGTCGATGAGTCTCTCTCCCGAACGGCTCGAGTCCGTCCAGGTCGCCAGTCCTGAGGATCTGCAGAAGACCATCCAAATGGGCATGGACCGACGTCATGACTGGGCCACCCAGAGACGAAAACAAAAGAAAAAAGAACAGATTGCGCCATCTGTTCATGTTTTTTCAAGATTTGAACTGCTTTTCCATGCTTTTCCATGATTTGCAATATGTTTTGGTCTTTGCAGAATCATTTTGTTGAAGATTCATAGCTCTGGTCGC